GGAGCATTCTCCCTGTGCTCATCACATCACTGAAAGTGAATACTCTTTGGAATCGTTTGCGTTATATATCACTTCCGTTTTTCTTTTTCTTCTATTTTTGTTTGCAAACTTCCAGTTATTGTATCTGTTTTTTTTTTTTTTTTTTGGACCGCGTTAATTGGGTCCGTCATGGTCTTGGAGAAAGACTACCGATACACAAGGAGAGAGAGAGAGAGAGAGAGAGAGAGAGAGAGAGAGAGAGAGAGAGAGAGAGAGAGAGAGAGAGAGAGAGAGAGAGTTCGGTGGGTTCATAGCATCCACGTTTATGTTGTTCAAGTTTTTCAGTTGGTGTGTCGTTCAATAGAAGTGCCAAACAGAAACTAATTTGGGACCTTTTTCAGATCGTTGTTAATTACCAGGTCTTACTGCCATTTTTGATTAATTAGCGCCATTTTTATATATCTTGGAAGTTCATGAAAGGCACAGAGTTAGCATGCAGTTGAGGTTCCAGGCTTTGAGTTCGTGGGGGTGTTGGTTGTTAGGTTCGATTTTTTTTGTTTTTTTGGTTGTAGGTCTTCTGAGGTTATGTCTTTTCATCAAATTTATATACTCTATTAGATAATATTGTAGCTACACCCCATATTAAGACATTACACACACACACACACACACAAATATATATATATATATATATATATATATATATATCAGTCATGCTGATATGGTTATTGCTGAAACCTCAACAATGAAGTTTGGCCTACTTCAAACTCGAGGATCTGGCCTTACCCATATTCAAAGGGGGAGGGTCATTCCAGGTTTTTAATCTAATTAAAATCAAAGGAAAAGAGATTCAAAGTTAAGTGTATACAAAGGAAATACCATATTCTAGCCAACTAGGCTAGGCCTAAATCTACCTACTTCATGTGAAGTAATGTTGAAGATGTTTGTGGACTTTGAGTCGTCTCTTCAAGCTTTCAAAATCGTGAAATACTAGATTTCTAAGGAACCCTTTTGAATTAAACATATATCTAAATTTATCTTCTACAGTTCAGATTACTTATGAAGTGGATATAACACCAAACTAACTGCAATTATATTGGAATTATAATGCTTGTCAATTAATTATCTCATAATTTTTGGATAAAAATCATTATTGCTAATTTAATTCATCCTCCCATTGTGCACTACTACACGCTATGTGTGTTAATTATTCAACTCTAATAATTTTTTTTTTTCTTGACAATTGATAGCTCATACATACAGTTTTTTTTTTTTTTAACAAACGATAATATCTACCCTAACGGGGATGGGGGAGTGAGCTAAGTCTCACAATGGGCTAGCAATAATGTGGTTCAAATTTTCCTTTGGCTAGAATCGAACCTAATACCTTTCAGGAATACTACTACACCGTAATATTAAGTGATATATACCCTTTTTGTTTGAGAAGTGATAAATGACAACATACAATTGACGCATAAAATGTGGAAAAAGTTCATAGAATTGATAATTATCTCTAACAAGAATCCTATTTTTAAACTAGAGTTTGATTTCAACTATGGATGATGAATTTCCTACTTTTTATTTCCTAAAAGATAATGAATCTCATGCTAATCTTCAGACTTCACTCAACGAATTTGGATAAAGAGTCATGTTCTCTTGGTCACCTGGTGATGTAGAATTTATGATCACTTATTTTTTTATATCAAGAGGAATGAAGAATAAATTTTTTTTTCTTTTTTGTTTTAATCTTAACCCTTGATATCAAGTTCAAGAATCCATGAGTGATTATCCATTTCTTGGTTATTTGGTGAATTAAAGCATGCTATATAATATGCAAGTATATAGTCGTGTATTGTAATTGGAAGAATCCATGAGTGATTATCCATTTCTTGGTCATTTGGTGAATTAAAGCATGCTATATAATATGCGAGTATGTAGTCGTGTATTGTAATTGGAAGAAAAAGAAATTTCATTTCAATCCCTAAATAAGATTGCTTTTTCAATAATACCGTATGTAAGATTAAAAACTAAAAATAGTCCTCCATGTCAGATTATAGTATTCCATGTCACATTTAATCATTGTTTTTTTATAAATTTATTGCATTTTTAGTTTCCCTATTTACCCTTATTACTCTCTTAAAACCAATTAGAAAAACAAATATATAATTAATTTTGCAAGAATGCTTAATTAACTAGATCCATAATTAACATGTTCGTTATAACAATAACATTACCATAAACCTCCATGTGTTATTCCAATCAAGGAACCCATAAAACTCAAAAATCATGATCAAACAAAAAAAGCCAGAAAACTTAGAAACCAAAAATCTCATTGTATTCGGAAGAAAGAAGAAAAAAGGGCTTTTAGATGCCAAATTGATGGTGAATCCAGAGATAAATGAAAAAAAAAATACAAATAGAGAAAATAGAATGTGAAATCACAACCTAATTGACCGTACCAAATTAATCGGACATACACTATATAGTACGTAACCGACCGTACCGAATGGATTGGACCTAATTGACAATACCTAAATGATTTAGGTGCATTCATATAGGTACTATGATTTAGGTGCATTCATGTAGGTACTACGATTTAGGTGCATTCAAATAGATACTATGATTACATATTTAGGTGCATTTGACTAGATACTGTGATTTAGGTGCATTGTGATAGGTACCATGGTTTAGGTGCATTCGACTTGATACTATGATTTATGTGCATTCAACTAGGTTTTATGATTTAAGCACATTAGGACATGGTTTTAGTGCATTCGATTATGTATAATATATGATTTGCCTATTTTTATTTCCTCTATGCTTGGAATGGTGATGATGAATAATTTGAATTAAGCATTTGTTAATTCTTATAACGTATCACTAATATTTTCTTTGAATTGTGTTTATCGTTTTAGAAAGTTAAACAATAATCAATGCCAAAAAATATGGAGCAAATTAAAATCAAATATTTAATAGGAGCATTATAGGAACCAAAAAAACGCATTAAATATTTAAAAACAAGAAAATATGAATTTTAATATTTATGCTGACATGGAAATTTAGTCAAAGACTATAATGAATATATAATCTAACATAAGGTTTTAATTGAATTTCAATCTTTATCAAGGATTAAAATGGAGAAACCCTTTGGAAGAATCCATGAGTGATTATCCATTTCTTGGTCATTTGGTGAATTACAGCATGCTATATAATATGCGAGTATATAGTCGTGTGCTGTAATTGGAAGAGTGAACTAATACGAACTATTAGATGATTCTTTTTTATGTAATTCTCTTTTAATTGATACTTACTGTCAACTAGAAAAGAATTACAATAGTGTAGGGAGAGTTTCGAAACTGGACGCAAGGGTAGAAATCAACACCTTATCGACTAGGATATTGGACCATATGCATATATAATTTTTGTATGAGAATTGATAATAATCTCTAACAAAGAATATCCTATAGTTAAACTAGAGTTTGTAATCACCTATACATTATGGGTTTTATTTACTTTTATACTAATCTTCGCTCAACTAATTTAGATAAAACCAAATCATTCTCGTCTAACTCTGAGTGATTATCTAACTTAAATTTGAACTCTTCTATATGCATGCCTATATATACTTCCATACATTTCACAATCACTCATTCACATCTTTCACTCGACCAAATCACTTACTCGATCACTTATATTTCAAACTTGAGATTTTAAGTTGCAGAGATGATGAAGAGAGGAGTTGCTGTGTTTTTCGTTCTATTTTTCTTAGCATTGACACAATGTATGGCTACTTCCGATTCCACAGCTCCTCCAGCACCCAAAACACCAGCATCCCCAAAGTACGATCATTGTAGTGGAACCCTGATCCTAAGCTTGTAAAGTGCCTTGGAGCTTACCACACTGCTTCTGCAACTTGTTACCATGAGATTTGCGTATCTTACTGGACTCGCAAAGTTGCCATTCAAGAAGATTGCTGCAAGGCCGTCGTAGAAATGGACGACGATTGCACCAACTATGTTTTCTACAAGTTCAACAACTATTTCTACCAAGCTCTGTTAAAGAACCATTGTTCCAGCAAAGCTTCACCGGCACCCCCAAAAGCTTAGTATCCATGTCTAGTTTAATCTTAAGATTTAGCTAGTTAGATTTAGAGTAATTAAATGGTTCAAAATAAATAGGTACTTTTAATTTTCCCTTTGTCGTTGGTATCCGTTAGGGTTTTTCTCAAGCATCATGTTTACTTAGCCAGTTGGAATTTAATAAATCTTTTTTTTTTCTTGAGTTATTTCTTGGTTATACGACTAGTTTATGATTGATACGCGCTACCATCTACTCTCTTGATAACCAAGAAAATGATTTTCTATAAATATCACAATTTAAACTTTTCTATTTACCTTTCTATTTGTACAGTTTATTTTATTTCTTTTGTGACACGCTAACGTATATATAATTTTGGGTGTCATAGTTATAATAGAACTTCAACTTCCTTCATTGATCTTATAACGTTTTTATTATATAATCACAATAGGACAAATGTAGGGCATAGCCCCCTCTTTTGTTCATGAATATGCTTAATTTGACATTGCATTTCTCTGTTTCCTTCGGAGCAACTTTTCCATTTAATTAAGAATTTAGTTTGCTAATCTATCAATTTGTTAACATCGGGCGTCGAAATAATCGAACGCAGCAACAATATAATCCAAGAGTTTTGTTTTTCCGTACACTCGTGTTTACTTATGACTTTTGAATTGAAAATCATTTCCCTTTCTTGATTTGTTTATTTAAATTGATTAGGGTTATTGGAAGGATAGATTATCAGATGCCCACTTGTTTAGAGAGGGATGCTGGTTCATATATTTAGTGATCCATCGAACTTGATCGATCGAAACTACTGGGACCACAAGAGTGCACGCCCAAAAAGGGGAGAGGCTACAAAATCCCCAGAACAATGATGTGCAACAAAAACTCAACCACACGAGATATCTAAATAAATAAAAACCATATCAACTGCAAAAATAGGGAACGAGAAGAGAGAAAATCATTGACTTTTAAAAAATTGGCTTGAAATTCCCAACTGGATTCACTAGCATGTTCATTTTTTTATACACATTTTCCTTTATCCCCACCTGCCCGAAGAAAGCGAAATTAAAATTCCCGCAAATCATCCGAAAAACCCATGAATCTTACAAGAAACTATATGTTAAAAAGCTAAAAAAAAAAAATAGGGTAAAAGGGAGAAAAGAATAATACTAATGGTGTCTGGTGTTGGAGCTACGGATCGTCACACCATGCAAAAATTTTGTATACCCAAGGAAATTGAGCTTTCCGTCTGCGCTTCTGATCCAATCTCGGAGGATAGAGTAGGCAGAAGGGCCGAGATTTAATTCCTGCATTCACAGGTAAAGCCATTTTGAGTTAAAATCGGAAATGCAGCAAAAATCGACTGTAAAAGAGAATACAAGATCTCAGTGAAAACGAAAAGAGCATAATTGGACATACTCTTGCCAGTTCTTCAATTGATATGACTCGGTTACCCTCCCGTTCAAAATGCTCAAAAGCAGTACAGGCTATCTGCTCCCACCCTTCAAGGGCCTCCAATTGATGGGTACTGATTGCTGCTGCGCAAAATTCTTCGAAGTCCATTGTTCTATAAGCAAGCGGTTCCATCTGAAATCAATTATAACAGGGAATTGAGAAACTGATAATTGCTGACCTCAAATGTCATGGCATAAAAGAGGATGAAATGTCAGATAAATTATAGCATAAGATAGCCTACACATGCTAGCAAACTTCTGGCTCGTTTGAGAAGTGCTCTTAAATGACTGAAAGTGCTTTTAGAGAAAATGTTTTTAGAATCAATCCTTAGTAAAAATGCAATTAATTCTGGAAAAGCACATAAGTGGTGCTTCTTGCAGGAAGCACTTCAAGTGCTTTTGGAATCCAAAAACATTTCCTCTAAAAGCGCTTTCAGTCATTTAAGGGCACTTCCCAAACCAGCCCTTCAACTAAAACAATCCAAAAGCAAGAAAAGAATTTAAAAGAACACTTGCCGCATTTAGGATATCAACAACCCTTGACTCCTTCATCGCATCAGTTGAATTTCTTTGTAGAGCCTGCAAAATGTAATTTTCTCCACATAAGCCCCTCTTCAAAATATATATTGCCTGGAAACTCAAATTTGAAAAAGTACGGAGTAGTAAATAACCATTTTGAAATTATGAAGAGAGACACGCTCATCATTATCTGGTTCCAAAAGCATGAATTGGGCTCTTAGATATATCAACTCATCCTCCGTCAAAGCTTTGGAAAGAGACTGCAATCATGCCATGAAAAAACAAAAACATGATTTTAATATAGAATATATGCACGTATGGTCAAAAACAATTTATAGCTGCCTTCATGAAAAGTGAAAGAAATGGCAGATTATTGATCACTACATTACTAGGATTTAGCTAAATGGAGAAAACGATAGGTAATTAGAATGTCTCTACTCTCTATGAACCATCACTCTGCCTACTTTGTAGAAAGAGTTCAAGAGAAAAGCTAAAGGTTTTACCTTTTCTTTTCACTTCCATTAGCCATAGAACCAAAAAGTGGAAACTTAAATGGAAATTTAATAATTTTCTTTCCACACTAATTAACAAAACAAAGGTTAATTTTTCTGTTCACTTGCCAAATAAGTTTCTTAAAAAGTAGATATTGATTATATAAAAAAAATATCTTCCCATGTAATCAAAGACATCTCAATATTGACATTTTATAAGCATCATTTTCAAGGATGCCATAGGGTGAAGGTAATGATATACTACACAGTTGAAGATACATTCTTCAAGATCCAAACAGAAAAGGAAAGAGTTTAAGATACATTATGCATTATCAGAAAGGATAACGTACACATCACTCCGATACCAAATTAATCATCAAGTAAGACCAAGAGATGAAGTTTTGATATTTAAGAGCAGACATGACCAAGCTATGTGTAATAGGAATAATTAGGCGATATCAAAAATTTCTAATACTGAAAAACGAAATGGGGTGAAGGTAGAAAGAGCCATATTTGGAAATGGTAACAATACCTTAAGTGCTGCACGTTTAAATGGCGTAGCATGGAGATATGATTTGACTAATTTATGTATCAATATATCCAAAGGAAGAGGACGACTGTCATCTCGCAACCATGGGTGAGCTGCAATTATGAGTGTCATTATTAGCTTTGAAAACCAAATGGAAAAGATCACTTATCATCATTACCAAATAACAATGCCAAATTCAAATAGTATTCAATTTAAAGTCACTCTTGCTTGTAAATGAATATTTGGTATCGAACTAACAATCTGTAGTTATAACCACACTTTTTGAGAAGAATGAACAAAGGTATTTCAGCATATGACACAATATAGATGGATGTTTAGTTCAAATATGATGGAGCAACCAAATGGAAACCTCCCACCCGCTCCCCTGATATCAACATTTTATTTAGATTGTGGAAGGGAAGTACAAAGACCACCCAAACATGATTAAGAGCAAAGCATATCATCTAAAACTGTCCACCAATTTTTTATCTCCTGGGTAGTACTTTAGACAGCAATAGAAAGAAATCTGCTTACATAAGGCTTGGACAGCAGTCATTCTTTTTCTGTAGTCCTTGTTCAAAAGTCTTCTTACGAAGTCCTTGGCTTCTAGAGACATAGTAGGCCAGGGTAACTCATCAAAACTAGGATCAGCTCGTAGCACTGCACGGAAAATTCCAGATTCGGTTCGTGCCCAGAAAGGTCGGCTTCCACATAGCAGGATATAGGTGATTACACCAATGCTCCATATATCTCCCTCAAGGCTATAAGATCTATGGAGGACTTCAGGCGCAACATAGTATGCACTTCCAACAATATCATTAAGTCTTTCATCTGCACATAAATGCATACATGGATAAATAATGAGGAAAAAGTTTCCTCCTATAATGTTAATAAGTACAAATAAACAAAGTATGAATTGGCTCAAGCAGTCAAAAGAGGGGAACTCATTAAATATTGAAATTGGTTAGTTGAAAAAGGACTTCATGTTTTCCACTACAGTTCTCATAGTATATGGTTTCTTCTTTTTCGGTTTGTACGACCAAATATTTTATTTTAAATGATAAACATCTAAATGCTTCTTTTGTTCTTTTCAAGAGGGATTAGATTAGATGAGACGGGTTGCACAAAATTAGACTTGATACTAGTGTATCCACAGATTTATCGGAATTAGATTGGACTTGTAGAAAACATTCAACAAGTTTCTTACAAATTCAAAAAATGGCGGAGAAAACAAAACAGTTCTAAGAAAGAATTTATTTCATACACCATTACAAATACAAAAAATATGTGTACTATTAATCTTCAAATTTCAACCAATTTAACTTTGAGTAGATAAAAATCATCAAACTTATCATATGGTTCACTGCAGGGTGTTCCATTCAATTGAAACATCAAATAGTCAAGAAAATTGAATGTTGTCCGTTTTAAAAGGAGAATAATAACTAAAACCAAGCGGCACTTGAAACTGCAGCTCTAATGTATTTATTGAGTCAAGGAGAGAAATCAACTTCAACTAATGAGAGAGTAGGGATGATCATCATTAGATACCTGGTCTGATAAAGTCAGAAAGACCAAAGTCAATAAGCTTCATATCAGCATCTTCACTTCTAGTAGCGAAAAGGAAATTCTGTTAAGCAAGAATGAGAGAAAGAGAGAATATATTTAGCACTGTGTTTGGAGGTAGAATCAGATAAGAACTCATGATTAACTTAAACACATAGGTTGACAATCAAAACCTCTGGCTTTAAGTCGCGGTGCACAACGCCTTGAAGATGACAAAATGCAACAACACTTAAAATTTGCACGACTATGTGTTTTGCATCTTCCTCTGCATACCTTCCGCCTCTGCAGTTAAGGTGACTTTGTCAACATACAATACACCGTTGGAATGAAATGAGTAACATTTCAATACTGGCAAAGAAATTACCTAGATAAAATTCTGTCGAGAAGTTCCCCCCCTTCACACAATCTGGTAAGAGAACACAAATCCACAGATGTCATACCAAAGGAGTAGGAGACATGGCATATGTTGCCTCAACCAGAAAAGTTTATATACTTCTTCATTCAACAATCATGCATGCAACTGACCCTCCAAATAAAAAGGATGAATAGAAAACAAGGTATACATACTCCATGACAATGTAAACATTATTGGCGTCTTCACATGCATCATAAAATTTTACAAGATGCTTATGCCCAGATAGAGCTTTCAATATCTTCACCTCTCTACGAACATCTTCAATCGATATTGCTGTCGTCATCTGCCATATGAATTTGGTAAGAAACAAACATAATGCATTTAAATGGGTGCCAATATTTATAATATCTCGTACCGTTACAACTTAAAACTACAGAAATTTGAGACCTAAGGGAAAAGGAAACAGAATATGAGGAAGGATGGCACGTGTCCAAATCATTGGAGCACGGGTGTTATCATACTTGCTATGCACTCACACACAGATCATAGACCAGATTCATTTCCAGCTATAAATTACAACCTCCGACAAGACATCGTAATCGATCATAATGCTGTCCTGTTATTGATTACCAAATTTGACATGTGAAGAAAGGGTAAAAATCTAGCTCTGGACACAAATATTCAATTTGAAAAGTAACACAATTTACACTCATAACAAATGTCAGACCTACACCGTTACCTAGCTTTGGCAAGTCGTTTAAAAACTCTAACAATTCTGACTTGTGTTTTACAAGAGAAATTAATTAAAATACGTGAATCAAGAGCTCCAGTAACAGTTTGCAACAAACTTGTCGTGTACCCCCTTTGTGAACTCAGATGATCACACAATCATTACAGAAACACAATTATCATGCAATAATGCAACCTAGAGACGAGGACACGTACAGCTACACTGTGCAGACATAGCAACATGGCCGCAGTGCAAGAAGCAACGTAAGATTTAACGATCCCTGAGTTGAACACATCATTTTCATGCAACACATCCCTCGTCATTGTAGGATACTGCAAACTAAACCACCGTAATCTTTTCTACTTAAGTAATTAATAACATTCAGTATCTAGTTCATAAATTCTGCTTGACTATAACAATTTCCCTCAATGTGGTTTCTCTATCCACACCCATCACTTCTTTTTCTTCCCTATTCAAAATTTACTCGCCACCACCAATTTACAAACCCAGAAACAGGAATCCTCCAATAGTAATAGATGGAATTCCAATCCCTCTACATTTCCCACAATGGTTTCAAAATGGCGATAATCGCATAACTTGTACATAAATGTGTTAACTTTAGTACCCTCTACACTACATTTTCTATATAAACACAATCGAATTTCCGAAAACAACCACTAAACAAGCAATTAAAGGGAATGCAGAATTCATATCAGAACTCAATTGTACCTTGGCTTTCGAAATGATCTTAACAGCCAGAGGCTGGTCCTTGAGCTCACCCTTCTTTCCCCTACCAGAGCAAGTATGACCAAAATGCCCTCGCCCCACCTCCTTCCCAAGCTCATACTTAGCTCCAAAATTCTTCCCATACCCGAAACTCTTGTCCAGCGACTGCTCCGGCTCCGGCTCCGCCCCGCCCTCCTCCGGAATCGGACTCGCCTTCGGCTTCCCGAACCGCTTCGCTAGCGACGCCTTTATATGCTTCGCCGGAGACGGAGGCGCAAACCTCCGCCGGAAAAACCTCCCCGGAGTCGACGACCTCGCCGGAGACGGCGACACTCCTGCAGGTAAAGGGCTGGAAGATACGCCCTGCGGGTACGGGCTCGGCCATGGGCTAGGGTTCGACGACCGGGCCGGCGTGTTCTTTACGCTGCGGGCCCCGTTCTGCCCGGCCTGCTGCGACGGCGTCGTTTGAGATTGGTGGACGTCGGTAGTGATTGTAGTTACGTTGGTGCCGTTGGGGTCATTTTCGTTGGTGGGAATGGTTTTGCCGTAGCATTGGCCCATCGTCGAAACTCAGTCTCCGGCGGTGTATCGGATCACGAGCCCCGAGTTAAAGTCCGCACATCTGACGGCCCCTATCGAATCTGCGTCGTCCCTCCGCCGGCGAGAGACGACAGAATGAGAGAAATGAGAAGTTTGAGATCTACGGCGAGAAAACGATAAACCAAGAGAATGAAAGAGAATTTGAGTCAGGGGAGGGTGGAGAGAGAGAGAGAGAGAGAGAGAGAGAGAGAGGACTGAGACAGAATGAGTAAGGCGCTGTGCTTCTGAGACACAATGGAGACAAGTGATGAGGTATTACAAGCTGTTTTACTCCTTACTAGGTAAAAAAATGTTTGACAGATCATGGGCCGTTGGACTTGATCAATCACACGGATGGATTGTCAAAATCACGGTCATTGGACTGTAGGAGTTTTTTTCTTTTGTCAAATAGAACCATAGGAGTTAGGAGGGATGTTTTCGTATAAAACATTTTCGTAAGCGTTTTTACTAGAAACACGTCGAGGTTCTTAATAATAATGACAATTTAGGTTACTTCAGGAAGAGTTCGTGGAAGTGTGAAAACTTTATTATGGTTCGATTTTATAGTAACCATGGCGTAGGAGTTAGGATAGATTGGAATACTTATGTAATTATTTTATTAGAAGCACGTCAAAATTTTTAATAAAAATTGAAGTTAATTTTGAAAAAGTTTATGAAAATGTGAAAATTTTATCATGAGATATATTGTATGTTAAAAATTTCGAGAGAGTATGATTAAATAAGTACGTGTGCTTACTCCAAAAAGCAATTTCTAGTATTTTACTAACTCCATAAGACTTAGAGTATCTTCAAATGAGATATCAAAATTGTCACGTAAACATACAACAGTAAAAAATAGCAGCAAGCTCTCTCCAATCGAGCCTTCAATTTCTTACGTGACGCTGAGTCAATTCAAAACAAAGCATTTTGCTGTCAAATTCGACCGCAACTGTCAAATTTATTAAATGATATTTTAATAGATTGATATAACATATAATAAATGTTCTTATGTTTTTTAAATATTTGATTAGTTGCCCCAATCATGAACCCCACAAAAAGATTAAAAAAATTATCACTAAATGATGTCAAATTGCCACATTAGTCATCAATATTATTTTGATGTTTAAAATTTCACACCTTCTTTGAATATGCTCTTAAGCTTTTCTCATAAAATATTATTATTAGCATTTTTAAGCATACGAAGTACTTTTAAATATCTAAAAATGCTTTTAGTATATTATTTTGCTTGTGTTCTTCTGTTTATAACGCCTTTTGATTTTGTCCTTGCTTATGTTTTGGCCGTTTTGTAATTTTAAATTCAAACAAAAGGCTTTTCCGGGAAAGGAGGATGTATTTTGGGTTGGTGTACGGTGCAGGTGATGGACATGCTGGGCTTTGACAAGGTAAGGGAACTGGAATTACTAGATTACCCTTAGTTTGACAGGTGGTATGGTATACGTGGGGCGGGAGCGTTGTCGTTCAAGGAGTGCGAAGCAGGGAATGAAATATTTGAAAGGGAATTGGAGTGAGTCAGCTGGCGAACATGCACAGTATGGTCCGAAGGTTCGAAATAGGCGTGGATCAGGTGTGAGTCCACGGAAGTATGACTGCTATGTGATCATTTTTTAACCACCGCCTGCCATTTGTTTTAGCCAATCCACCACTAGACCAACCCTTAAGTTGCACTCATGCCGAGTCTGAATTGCTAAATAAAATCCAAACAACACATGGTGTTTATCTCATTTTTCAAATTTTAGCATCATGCGTAACCACTTAGTAGTGTAGTATTGTGATATTCTTCTTCACTTGTAAGTGAGGAAATTGCTACACTGAAAAAAGTGAAAAACCCTAATATTCCTATTTGCTAAATAAATATACGAAAACCTACTACACTGAAAAGAGTGAAAAACCCTAAGAGCATCTCCAAATGAGATGTCAAAATGTCCACATAAGCTATAACAGTAATAAAAGACTACACTAATATTCTCCAACCGAAATACAAATTCCTATATGATGCTGATATGGACTGGCAGCAAAGAGGTTACTGTTAAATTTGACAGCAACTTCAAATTTGCATACTAAAACAAAGTGGCGGTATTGCCTACTTCAACATTATTGACAAATCGGACCTCATGTTTCTTTTTATAATAACGTTTTAACTACTTGTTTGCTTATTTTATTGAAGTGATATATTTTTTTTATGAAGTAATTAAGTATGTAATTTGTTATGTCAATTATTACAGTATAATTTTACCTATTTTGTTGCCTATACCATAAAGGATGCTCTAATCTTAAGCATCTTCAATTGTGTAGGTAAGCAAAGTAGGAAAATTTGTACTATACTGATTTATGTGGTCATTAGTAACATTTTCTTACCTGACTTGACACACCCCGACCGAGATCAGGGCGTGCTGGCCGTCACACGAAGGTGACGTAGCCATGTGCGCGTGCGGAAGCAATTAAGAAGGTAATATAAAAGTACTAATAATTAAAAACCTAATAGCATACAGAGTGCTAGTGTATGTGAGACACAATTCAGAGCAAAGCTACAACAGTCCAAAAGGAAAAGATACGACATATTTACACCCGAAGGTGACCCTACAATGGTGAATGTCTGTCAGAAATGCCGGGACGCCCTCTGGGATAAACCACCGAACTTGCTAGACCACTAGAACCTGGAGGGGCGCAAAAACAAAAGCGTGAGTGGGCAAAAACAAAGTTCTTTGAAAACTCTTTAGCAAAATACATTCTAACCCCTCGCCGTAAAACCTGTATACTTCCCAGAAAATGAACATATATACGTATGTATAGATATGTCAATCATGCTCCATGATATGCCATTCATGCTCACAATATGCCACAACAGAATCTCATAATCAAGTATAAATGCCCAAGCGTAAATCACATCAATAACATATAATCTGGCAGCCGGGAGTCACCTAACGTGACATGTACCGCTGCATATAGAGCTCTAATCTCAACTCAACATCTGAATCTGCACACAAGTCGGAGCCACCTAACGTGGTCTGCACGACAGGACTGGGTGTGATATATACGCTCTAGTGCTACGATCACGTGAAGACTGTGCGAATAATCGCGGGTCACCTACGAGTCGGAGCCACCTAATGTGGTCTGCACGACAAGGCTTGCACCTAACTTGGATCCAAGGCGAGCGTGTGGTGCTGGTGAACATACACGTGAAGGACTCTGCCCCTCTCTGGGCGGGAGCACTAACACCGGGGGTGCAGATATGAGCTCTCTAAACATTTCAACTACTATTGCATAATAAACAGGAATGCATAACCACCTGAATACCGCTTACCTGGCACTTACCTGTGCATCCACAGCACCAAATACACATGTATATATGTATGTATGTCACCAATAATACATGCAATGATGCGTAAACAACATTCATATAATGCATGGCATAAAACAAATAACCTTTTCTATTTAATTTCTGGGAATTAATATGTATATAGGTATATACGGAAAACAAAAGCCCACTCACTGATAAATAGAAGGGTCGTAGCCCCCCTGCCTCGAGTGCGTACGCTCGTCCTCGGAAAACGAATCACCTATACGCGACAAAGTTACGAAAACATTAATTTAAAAGCACCTAAGCAACTTCTCGTAATAACTTCTCATACATTGCTCAAATTGGACAATTGAATATACCAACGTGACCTACACAACCTCAGGATCACACCCATATTTTTAGAAAAAATTTTGGACCACGCACGCGCCCCCACGCGCCGTCACAGGCACGGCCCTACGCGCCCCCACGCGCGGCCCACGTGCACTGCACACTGACGGCGTCAGTTGACGCCGTCAGGAATATTCCGTCAACTAACGGAATATTCCGTCAAATCTAACCAGATTCCGTCCACTGCCGTTAGGAATATTCCGTTAGACTTAACGGAATATTCCCCTGTCTTCTCCGGCGAGCCTTCGCCGGCGCCGTCGCCGGCGCCGGTGGCCGGAAAACTGGGAATTTTTCAAACTTTGTTTTCTCACTCGTTTTTCAACCAAATTTCACGTTCTTTATACCAAAATGAAGCTTAGAACTAGTAGAACAACGCTAGACTAGTTTTAAGGCCTAAAAATTAAAGAATCTCACCTGCAACAACGATCCAAGTTCGGCCAACTTCGAACCTAGCCTTCCCAACGTCCAAATTCACCCAACGAACCACTCCGAGGCTCCTTGGGACCTCACAAACACATCTACAAGCTTAGAAATTCCAAAAACAAGCTAGTTTAGGTTTGCATGAACAGTGTTCAAATCGGCCATTGTGATATCGACGTGAAAACATCTATATTCTTACCTGAAAATGGCACCTTTGAACTCCTCTCAGCTCCACGAACACGATGGTGGTCTTGGTTTCTTGTTTGGTGAAGGTTTGAGTTGGTTTGTGTGTGTGGCCGTGTGTAGAGGAAGAAGAAGAAGAGGAAACTCGGGGAGAGAGAGAGAGAGAGAGACTGAGAGACAGAGTGACAGGAAGTGAGGAAAAGAGGGAGGGAATCCCGGGAGAAAAGAGAGTGTATGAGTGTGTGTGGTCCCACCACATCACACAACACAAATATACACGTAAACGAATAGATTAGGGGTAAAATCGTAATTTCCCATGTACGTTAAAATGAAATTTGGGACGGGATGTTACAACCTACCCTCCTTAATAGAATTTCGTCCCGAAATTCAAAATAACTACATATAACCCCTAATAATCGAAGAACAATCTAGGGTACAAGTCCCTCATTCTATTTTCTGTCTCCCATGTCGCTTCTTCAACCGAGTGATTCCTCCACAGAACTTTTACCAAATTCACCGTTTTGTTTCTCAGAACCTTTTCTTTCCAATCTAAGATCGTTAACGGTTCCTCGTCGTACGTCAAATCTGGATTTATCTCTAACGGTTGAGGAGGTATCACATGCAATGGATCAGCAACGTAATGTCGGAGCATAGACACGTGAAAAACGTTATGCACTTTAGCCAACTCCGGAGGCAACTCCAACCTGTAAGCTACCTCACCAACTCTTTCTGTAACTATGTACGGTCCGATATACCTGGGACTCAACTTC